TTATTTTTACTTTTTTTGTTAAAAATAAATGCACTGTTGGTTAAGGGCTGTAAGTAAGCATTTCACTGTAATGTCTGCACCTGTTGTATTCGGCGCATGTGACCAATACAATTTTATTTTATTTTATTTTATTTGCTTCGGCAAGTAAAATGGTCAGAGTGAGGTGTTCTCTCATTTGTGATGGAAGTAGCTAGCTAGCAAGCTAGCTTGGTTGGTTGGGACAAGCATGCATTGGCTGGCAAGCTGCAGAAGGACGAGGAGGCTACAATTCCCCATTTATCAGTGAAATTGACGGCTGGAAATGTTCCTTCGTTAGATTTTAGCTCATCTTGCTCTGGCTAGCATTAGTTATTGATGTGCATAACTGAGGGAGAGAGAGCCTACCTTTTCATGGTTGTTTGATCAATAGGACTGCAAAGTTCCCAAATGTAAGAGGACTCCCGTGGTGTTTACATATTTGCAGAAATCCATTCAGGTGTTGGCTTTTTGGCGAATGCGTTCTAATGATCTAAAGTCGGGCTGTTGCAACTTCCTGTAAACACACAGCCCAGTTCAAAGTGAATGATGGCAGGCCCCTGTGGCAAATGGCTTGTTTGTAAAATGTCTACTGTAACTCTGATTGGCTATAGTGCACCGGACTGTGTAGACACGGCTGCTTTCCCGCTCTATATTGCTATAGAGTTTTCACAAATGCCTTAGTATACGTAATTCCCAAACATTCAACACATTTATGAAAACGTGTCATATTCTTCCCGGGGTGTATATGAACAGATTTTAATACGATTTCATGTTGGTAAAATGCTGTCAGTTCCACTTAAATACAACAATGTTTCACACACAAGTTATTTTCAAAGAGATGGCTAACAACAGCAGCATGCTGCAATAAAAAACACAGTTCCACTCACCAGATGATGATGATTTTGAAACGTAACTTCTTGTTGAAAGTTATTCTTGAAAAGGGAGAAGCTAACAAATTAGCAACAAAAGCCTCTTTGATAACACCTGCTGCAGCCGGTGCAAACTAGCCGACAACAAAAGCTAGCTAGCTAGACCGTGGGAAAACGACAGCTCGCTACTGCACAGTGACCTGTTGGCCTTCAAGAAGGCAGAAGTTTCCATACGTTTTCGTAAAAACGGTCCCGCTCATTAAATCAAAATGTGAATGGTTGATTCCACTGTCACTCCAAATTTTTGCCCTTATACAGTTGAATGGCAGACAACTTTATCTAGCTTCTGATGGCTGATTTTAGCTAGATGTATCTCCCCAGAGACCAGCAAAGAGAAATCCTGATTGGATATTTTTTTCTCTCTTCAGTTTTAACCCTTTCGTTTCCAACAAATTGAAGAGATTAAATCAGAACATCATTGAAAATCATATTATCATTATCATATTATTATTACATTTACATTACATTTACGTCATTTAGCAGACGCTCTTATCCAGAGTGACTTACAAATAGGTGCATTCACCTTATAGCCAGTGGGATCACCACTTCACAATGTTATTATTATTATTTAATTTTTTTTTTTGGGGGGGGGGGTTGGGGTTTGGGTTGGGGTAAGGGGGGGGTAAAAGGATTACTTTATCCTATCCCAGGTATTCCTTAAAGAGGTGGGGTTTCAAATGTCTCCGGAAGGTGGTGAGTGACTCCGCTGTCCTGGCGTCGTGAGGGAGCTTGTTCCACCATTGGGGTGCCAGAGCAGCGAACAGTTTTGACTGGGCTGAGCGGGAACTATGCTTCCGCAGAGGTAGGGGAGCCAGCAGGCCAGAGGTGGATGAACGCAATGCCCTCGTTTGGGTGTAGGGACTGATCAGAGCCTGAAGGTACGGAGGTGCCGTTCCCTTCACAGCTCCGTAGGCAAGCACCATGGTCTTGTAGCAGATGCGAGCTTCAACTGGAAGCCAGTGGAGTGTGCGGAGGAGCGGGGTGACGTGAGAGAACTTGGGAAGGTTGAACACCAGACGGGCAGCGGCATTCTGGATGAGTTGTAGGGGTTTAATGGCACAGGCAGGGAGCCCAGCCAACAGCGAGTTGCAGTAATCCAGACGGGAGATGACAAGTGCCTGGATTAGGACCTGTGCCGCTTCCTGTGTAAAGCAGGGTCGTACTCTCCGAATGTTGTAGAGCATGAACCTACAGGATCGGGTCACCGCCTTGATGTTAGCGGAGAACGACAGGGTGTTGTCCAGGGTCATTATAATCATTATTTTATAAATCCTTAGCCCTTCTCTGAAGGCGTAGAAGGCCCATTGTTCCCCACTATGTTTGGGTTAGTAAATAATTTGTAGAGTGGCTCTATTTCCCTCAGCATGCATATTTTCACGTTTTTTTTCACTATTCTGAATGTCTAAAGAATCCATATGTTGTTCTGAAATATGAACACAGAAATGCTGGACATTTTTAACTCTTATGGTGGTGATTTGACAAAATTACAATCATGGTCTTGAATTGGACTCCCATTTTTCTGGTCTCGGTCGTGACTCTGTCTCAGACCCCTTGTGCCCTCCCGGTCTTGGTCTTGATTCAGACTCGATTTACTCCTGTCTTGAATCGGTCTCGCTTTAGGTGGTCTCGATCACAACACTGTTAGGCTACAGATTAAATAAATGATGATGAACTTCACAGGGTGATGAAAGTGCACAGTGATCTTGACGCACCTTTCCAATAAGTATCAATGGTCTTATTCTGGTGACATGATGATCGACGCTTGACTGCCGTTTGACAAATAAACATGTTCTTGCTCTTATCCATAATAATCTCATGTAGACTAGCCTACCCGCACTGTATCTGCAAGCTGTTGACTCTAGCGCAGGTGCAAAGACCGGAGTAGGCACATTTGCTATTTAACACAACCGTTTTTGTGACAACTATCCGTAGTGATGAAAATGCAGTTTGTTTGGTGAAACACACCACTGGTGGGAAAATGCTCAGATTTTCTTTATGTGGATTTTAGAATATTTGCATGGAAATCTGTCGCCAATTGGATGGAAACCTAGCTAGTAACGTATAAACCTAGTAATATTTGTTTGAGAAATCTGATATTGCTGTCTGTCTTGTAGGACAGTTGTACGGAGCTCCTGAAGCTGAAGATGATGTATGGCAATTATGTAGACCTATGACAATTGTGCCTTTCTTGTGACGCTGAAAATGAAAATAAATTGTTGCATCCTGTTATTGTCTGATTCCCATGCTCCACTCTTTGATGCAAAGAACCTGTGTTAAGTTTAGCTTAGTCCAGAGGACCTCACCTCCCGTATAAAAAAAGGTGGCGTAGTATGGCTACAGGAATAGGTGATTTATTGTTAAATCCACCACGTTACATTTGGTGTAGTCACTGCCTGACAATTTGACGTATTATGGCTACAGGAATTGTATATTTATCTGTAAATCCCCCACGTTACATTTTGCGTAGTTAGCAGGATTCTACCCTTGGCTGCCTGACACCGGTACTTGGCAACGGTGAGCTCCTGTCCAAATCGAGCACTGCCTAGTCATCCTTGTCACAGTCGGGCCCACCCAAGTGAAAATGATTCCGCCCTCATGGAAAATACAGACTACCGACTGGGCAAAAACTGGTTGAATCAATGTTTCCACATAATTTCAACAACAAAAATTAAATGTGATGACGTTGAATCAACGTCAAACTGATTGAAATTGCAGAACGTCATCAACATCAGGAATTTCATATTTTTTTCACCCAACCTTTAACCTAAATCCAATGACAGGGTGACATTTCTTTGTGGATTTTACATTGAATTCAAGTTAGTTGACAACTCAACCAAATGTAAATCAAAATTAGACATTGAACTGACCCAGTGGGTAATTATCTGTCAGTTGAAGTTGGTGTGTTCAAAATACTTTTATTAGGTATAACACACACACATTTACACAGAGGAACGTTTTTTACTTTCCCACATAGACAGTCATGCACAGTCCATACAAAAAGTTGAATAAGAGGTGTACTGGCTAAATTGTCCAATATAATTGTCCCAATACAATTTCCATTCTAATCCTTTAGCCACAATGGAGAGTGGTGAAATGTTAGTCTTGACGCATACAAATCCAATGTCCAGAGTTTGATTCAAGTTGAAAAATAATCATACATTTATTTGTCGTTCTTCTGGATACAACAATGTCAAGAAAATTCTACCAAAATGAATTCTGATCATTAAAACTAAAGAAACAGCATGGTAAACATGGTCTGGTATGGTCAAAAGACTGTGTGCTGCCATTCCAGTCACTCCCCGTAGGCCTTGGAGCATGTATGCCGTTTAACTGTATCCATTGGCCTGTAGAGGGGGTACACACACTTGACAGGGGATTAGTGACAAACAAACACACAACAGAAATGCATCATGAATTGGAAACATACAAATATACAATATGACCTATTTGGCTCCTACAAGAGGGGGAATGAGTAATGTGTGATAACTGGCAAATGTGCGCAGGGTATGGCGTTGCCACAGGTGGTAGTCCTGGCTTTGGTGTGCCACTGTACCCTTTACAGTAAAGGTGATAATGTAGTGTTGTCCCAGCCTTCCCAACAGGTTATGTTGTGAGCAAAGGTCATGCATGTGTCATTCAAGCTGCAGGACAAGATTCTCAAGTCATTTCATGTCTCCTAGCCTCGTCAAGAAGCAGGCTTCCCTCCAAAAGAGGCGTGACAACAATGTGATTTTTGAGGTATGGCTACGCGAGACTACATGTCTCCCCGTACTACTACCAATCGTTAAAGGTAGGTCTACTGTAAATGCCATATAAATGAATCATTATAGAAACATACAATTGCATGTTATTGATTAGTGTGGTGATCCAAAACATAACTTGCACCAAGACTGCATTTTCATAGCTTCTCACAGGCTGTTGCTGTGGGTCTCCTTGATACTCAATCTCAAATCTGCAAAGGCCATTGATAATCAGCAATAGAACACACTTACAGTTTACATTTACCTATTGCACTCTGTGCACATAATTTTTTATTACATTAGTTATTCTCACCTGCATTCTGCCAAGGTCTGTCAGGATCAGCCTGTTCTCACTCTGAATACAGTCAGGGAGCTGTTTGGATTCCTCCACTGACCCCATGTTCATCATCCTCTGAGATAGATGATCTGTGGAGCTACAAAACACCCAGTAGTGGAAAAAGTACCCAATTGTCATACTTGAGTAAAAGTAAAGATACAGTGGAGGGAAAAAAAGTATTTGATCCCCTGCTGATTTTGGACGTTTGCACACTGACAAAGACATGATCAGTCTATACTTTTAATGGTAGGTTTATTTGAACAGTGAGAGACAGAATAACAACAAAAAAATCCAGAAAAACGCATGTCATAAATGTTATAAATTGATTTGCATTTTAATGAGGGAAATAAGTATTTGACCCCTCTGCAAAACATGACTTAGTACTTGGTGGCAAAACCCTTGTTGGCAATCACAGAGGTCAGAAGTTTCTTGTAGTTGGCCACCAGGTTTGCACACATCTCAGGAGGGATTTGTTCCGCAGATCTTCTCCAAGTCATTAAGGTTTCGAGGCTGACGTTTGGCAACTCGAACCTTCAGCTCCCTCCACAGATTTTCTATGGGATTAAGGTCTGGAGACTGGCTAGGCCACTCCAGGACCTTAATGTGCTTCTTCTTGAGCCACTCCTTTGTTGCCTTGGCCATGTGTTTTGGGTCATTGTCATGCTGGAATACCCATCCACGACCCATTTTCAATGCCCTGGCTGAGGGAAGGAGGTTCTCACCCAAGATTTGACGGTACATGGCCCCGTCCATCGTCCCTTTGATGCGGTGTAGTTGTCCTTTCCCCTTAGCAGAAAAACACCCCCAAAGCATAATGTTTCCACCTCCATGTTTGATGGTGGGGATGGTGTTCTTGGGGTCATAGACAGCATTCCTCCTCCTCCAAACACGGCGAGTTGAGTTGATGCCAAAGAGCTCGATTTTGGTCTCATCTGATCACAACACTTTCACCTAGTTCTCCTCTGAATCATTCAGATGTTCATTGGCAAACTTCAGACGGCCCTGTATATGTGCTTTCTTGAGCAGGGGGACCTTGCGGGCGCTGCAGGATTTCAGTCCTTCACGGCGTAGTGTGTTACCAATTGTTTTCTTGGTGACTATGGTCCCAGCTGCCTTGAGATCATTGACAAGATCCTCCCATGTAGTTCTGGGCTGATTCCTCACCGTTCTCATGATCATTGCAACTCCACGAGGTGAGATCTTGCATGGAGCCCCAGGCTGAGGGAGATTGACAGTTATTTTGTGTTTCTTCCATTTGCGAATAATCGCACCAACTGTTGTCACCTTCTCACCAAGCTGCTTGGCGATGGTCTTGTAGCCCATTCCAGCCTTGTGTAGGTCTACAATCTTGTCCCTGACATCCTTGGAGAGCTCTTTGGTCTTGGCCATGGTGGAGAGTTTGGAATCTGATTGATTGATTGCTTCTGTGGACAGGTGTCTTTTATACAGGTAACAAGCTGAGATTAGGAGCACTCCCTTTAATCTCAGCTCGTTACCTGTATAAAAGACATGTGGGAGCCAGAAATCTTTCTGATTGAGATGGGGTCAAATACTTATTTCCCTCATTAAAATGCAAATCAATTTATAACATTTTTGACATGCGCTTTTCTGGATTTTTTTGTTGTTATTCTGTCTCTCACTGTTCAAATAAACCTACCATTAAAATTATAGACTGATCATTTCTTTGTCAGTGGGCAAACGTACAAAATCAATTACTTTTTTCCCTCACTGTACCTTAATAGAAATTGACTCAAGTAAAAGGGAAAGTCGCCCAGTAAAATACTACTTGAGTAAAAGTCTGAAAGTATTTGGTTTTAAATATACTTAAGTATCAAAAGTAAATGTAATTGTTAACATATATTTAAGTATCAAAAGTAAAAGTTTAAATAATTTCAAACTCCTTATATTACAGTTTTTTACGATTGCTTACACACAACTGTAAGCACATTGTCAGCTTCACACTATTTACAAAACATTACACACAGTGATTTGCAAAACACTAAACACACTTGTATACATCAGACACAGAAGTATATCATGATGTCACTTCCTTGCAATTACAAAGCACTGACTGTCAAATTACCACACCTATGAGCCAATCTGTTAAACACAGCCATCAGGTGCACAAACACATGATTGCTAAATTGTAGACACACCAATCAGGTTTAAGCACTATAAAAATGCAGCAGGTAGGTTCACCTGCCTTCAACCAAAATGGAAGGAGTCAGAAGAAGAGTGAGGGTGAGAGGAGGAGTACACAGAGGAGGAGGAGGAGGAGGAGAAGGAGAAGGAGGCAAAGGCCGAGCCAGAGGTCGAGGAAGACCTGAAGCAGGAGGAGAACGTGCACAAAGAAGAAGAGGACCAAACTTATCAAATGACATTCGTGCAACACTAGTGGACCATGTTGTGAACCAAGGATTGACGCTGAGGGAGGCTGGACTGAGAGTTCAGCCAAATCTTAGCAGATATACAGTGTCATCTGTCATACAGACTTTTTGACAGGAAAACAGGTAAAAGAAGATCTGTCTACAGTTACAGTAATCAGCCACTTATTGTATGCACCATATCAGCACTTGTGATACCCCTTCCTGTGACATTGTACAGTAAGTTACATGTATTATTCTCTACATAGGATTGAGGGTCGGGAACGACAAGGAGGAAGGGGGCCCATGTTCACGCAAGAACAAGAGAGAGAGATAATAAACATGGTTTTGGCCAATAATGCTATCATTATCGGTGACCATGCCATTTTCAATAATGTCCATCAGGTCTCTCAGTCAACACTGGCACGCATCCTGAAAAGACATCAGGTTCAAATGAAACAACTTTACAGAGTGCCTTGTGAGCAGAATTCAGAGAGGGTCAAACGGCTGCAGCATGAGTATGTGGAGGTTTGTATTGGTCACTTTAGCACTGTGATGTTGCATACTGCACACATGACTTTTTTTACATTGACCGTATACTAGACCTATCCTGAACTACACAATCTTGTCTTTCACTGTATTTCAGAGAGTTTTGCAGATGGATGCTGAGGAAATCCTGCATGAATTCATATATATTGATGAGGCAGGGTTCAACCTCACAAAAGCAAGAAGGAGAGGCAGAAATATCATTGACCACAGGGCTATAATCAATGTCCCAGGGCAACGTGGGGGTAACATCACCCTTTGCGCTGCCATTTCACAGCATGCGGTTCTCCTCCGTCATGCCAAAATGGGCCCTTACAACACACCTCACATTCTCGCATTTTTGGACCGATTGCACCACATCGTCACAGCAGGTAATGAAATGCACCAGATGCAATACACTGTCATCTGGGACAATGTGTCATTCCACCGCTCTGCTTTGGTCCAGAACTGGTTTCAACACCATCCACAGTTGACAGTACTATACCTTCCACCATACTCTCCGTTTCTAAACCCTATCGAAGAGTTTTTCTTTGCATGGCGGTGGAAGGTTTACGATCTCCAGCCCCAGGCTCAGGTACCCCTCATTCAGGCCATGGAGGACGCCTGTGACCAAGTCGACGCCGCAGCTGTGCAAGGATGGATTCGACATTCAAGACGGTTCTTCCCGCGTTGTCTTGCTAATGAGGATATTGCTTGTGATGTTGATGAAATTCTCTGGCCAGATCCAGCTAGGCGACGAAATAATGTATAGTATGTTTACTGTAGTATTTCAGTTTTTTTCAGATAATTTTTTATGTTTGTTGTTGTTATTTACTGTAATTGTAACTTGTACTGGATACAGTATTTTACATTTGTCTGTTTGCTGAGCTAACAGTGTTATGCACACTACTGTAGTAGCATGAAAACTGGGACATGTTTTGTTGTGATTCTCCATGTTGACTGATTTGGGTATGTGGAGAGAAATAAATGATATTTTCCTCAGTCTGCAGCATTGGTCTTGTGTAGTGTTTGTATAGTTGCACTTTCTCTGTGTACTTCATTTACAGTACTCTAATCACTGAGAATTAGACTTGCTAAAAGTGTTTTAGGTTAGCAACAGCAGTGTGTAACTGGTTCAGAAAGATTGAAGTCATATGAAATGTGTGTTTCGTATGGTAACAAAATATTGTTTTTATTAAGTTGTGTATAGTTTTGACAAAAGTGTTCCATTTTGCAAATGATCTGAAGTGTTGTGCTACTTTGGTGTAGTGTTTTGACAAACCGGGCCCTGTTTTCAAAATTGTGCTTAAACAATTGAAAAAAACTGTAAGCAAACCAAAGGGCTTGAATTTTACCGAAAGCCAGGGGTACGCTCTAGCACTCAGACATAATTTACAAACTAAGCATTTGTATTTAGTGAGTGTGCCAGATCATAGGCAGTAGGGATGATCAGGGATGTTCTTTTGATAAGTGCTTGAATTGGACCATTTTTCTGTCCTGCTAAGCACTCAAAATGTAACGAGTACTTTTGGGTGTCAGGGAAAATGTATGGAGTAAAAAGTATATTTTCTATAGAAATGTGAAGTAAAAGTAGTCAAAAATATGAACAGTAAAGTACAGATACACAAAAAAACGACTTAAGTAAAAATACTTAAGTACTTTACACCACTGAAAACACAAACTGATGTGAGACGTATCACTTTAACATTGGTTACTACTTCTTGATAATAATCAATGTCATACATTCATCTTCTCACTTCGAAAACCTCATTGAGGTGGTCTTCAGCTTTTTTTAGTAGCTCCACTGTCTTCATGTCAGACTTGGTCATGTCATTTGCCCCATTTTCTGAGTTGGTTTTAAGAATCGACCTAATCCAGGAACAGAGGAACTGACCAACTGATGCATTGGCTGGCTGATCCAACGTTGTTTTTGCAGTCTGTTGGGCCTGCATTAGTCTCTGGACCAGTTTCAGCACCTACAGTACAATGTTCAGAATATAGGAAAGCATTTGTGATCACTCTCTATATTTGGTAGATTGCAGTACCCTCAGTCAAATGGTCTTTCCTGTCATTCGCTTGTTCTTGTTGGACTTACATGAGCTCGCATTTCTATCCCAAACATCTGTAGTTCCTTATTATGGATGTCTTGGGTAGGGGGCAGGGTACCTTTCTCAGTAGGCTGCACCTGAAATGCCATCAGGGTGGATGGGATGAGGGGACCCTGATGCAATAGCACATTTTCTCCTGTAAACCAAATTAATAATACATTTTAAATAATGTGGGGAATGTTTCTCTTCAGGCTAGGCCTAAATGTTGTTCATTGTGATGAAGTCACAGGGCCTTTTAATTAAGAATAATTGTGGTTACCATTTTCAATAAATTCTGAAAGACTCGATTGGGCAAATACTTTTGCCATCCTGAAAACCATGGTTGCATTGTCGATGTTGAGAAGGTCGACATGTGCAAATCTTTTTAAGAAGCAGCGGAATAGCTCTGTGTACATGAGAATATTCTCCTGAATAAAAGAGGCACCTAAGAGACAGACAGCTTTATGTTAGCAAACGTCCCCTTCAACCCACTGCTCCATGTGAATTATAACACTATTGAGCAGGTTCAAAATATCTTACCATTTGTCTTTACTCTCACTGTAGACATGCTATTGCTATCTCCATGGCTGGATGTAACTAAGCCACGTCTCCAAAACCTGTAGTGAGAAATGGCTAATTCAAAACCACTTCTCTTATACAGTACATCCACCCACAACTCCCACAGTAGGATATCTTCCCAAAAAGTAGTTAAAACACTTAAAATTAGGCAATAAAATGCCAAAATGTCAAAGACAAAACAAATGTAAATCCAATGTAGAACTGCAATCACTGCTCTGAAGGACATCTCCATAGGCCAGTCTTTGAAGCAGTGCAGCAAGAGAAGGTACAACCTCTGTACATATTGTGATGTGACATCTCTGGGTTTCAATAACAACATATCGTCATCATCATGACATTGTATAAAGCACTAAAGTTTACCTTTCAACATCTTCTGAGAGATAGGTTTGTGAGTAGGCAGAGGGTAAGAAATCTCTGGTTTCGTTTTGTGCTCCCAGAGAGGGCATGCAGGTCCTTCACCAGGAGTCTCACCACCAGTATGTGCTCTTCTATGATGACAGACCCCTGCAGGTTTGCAGACAAGTGCTCATCAATAAAACACAGCATTTTTAAAACCATTAGAATTCAAAAGGCACTAGCACATCTGAGCTATCTTTTTGGCTGGTGCATGGTCACAGTTGAATAAGATGAGAAAAAGCACCCCCATTTAAACAACCTTATCTCAACATGAAAATGAATACATTTGCTGCAAATGTGCCATACTTCCATGCCTGTACGTTTTGCCGAAATTACACAAACCTAAAACACAACAAGGCAATTATCCAGGCAGACCAGTGGTTGCAGGAATAGGCTCAATGCTAGAGCCATTGTCGAACTTTGTAGACTATTTTATTAAATATCATGTGCAAGCATTACCATCATATGTGAAAGACTCTATAGGCTTCATGAACATGATCTCAACAATAACGGGATTAACAGAAGACTGTATTTTGGTCACATTAGACGTCGAGAGTCTATATACCAGCATTCCCGATACGGGGGGCTGGCAGTCCTTGCTCACTATCTGAGAGACGGAGATACTAACAAATACCCACCAACAAACTTTATTTTAGAGCTGGCTGAATATGTTTTGACGTATAACTATTTCAGGTTTGATGAATACTACCTCCAAACGAATGGAACATCGATGGGCTCCACATTCGCTCTGAGCTATGCTAACCTTTATGTGGGTCATTCTGAAGAAAGTTTTGTTAACAATAAAAACAAAAACCCATTTTTGAATAAAGTCCTGAAGTGGTACTGATATATTGACGACATTTATTGCATATGGGGAGGAACAGGAGAAGAGCTGTCAGACTTTATGGCATTACTCAATGACATTGACACCAATTTCAAATTCACTATTGAATGTGACACTAAACGTGTTCATTACCTCGATATGTGGATTGAGAAATCAAATGGAACCATGTTTACAACTCTGTATAGAAAAGAAACGGACATAAATACTATATTACAGGGGGACACCGTCCACCCTGAGCCATTAAAAAGAAGACTTCCAAGAAGCAGGGGCGGTGTGTTCATTAGGGCGATATGGGCGACGCACTGCCAAACGGGAAAAGGAAGGGATTTTTTTTCTAATCAAATATATCACGGCAACAGTAGTTATGAGTGTTCTAATCTAGACGTCTGATCTGCCACTAAATGTCCAATCAGGCTAAAGTCGTGCTTCAAATGTCCCCGCCCGTTTTGGGGCGATTTCAGTCAGGTTGAAAATCGCCCAGAAGTCTCTCATAGCCTCTAATGTAAAATCAATTTTTTTCAAATATCAGAGCTTTCAATACAATCTCTATGGGTTTCTGAGGGCTTGCACTTACGCGCTTTCGTCATACGTAACATAACCATGAACGTAACTAAGAAAAGAGCGGGTAGCCTCATCAATCAATTCACTATTACTGTCAAAATGGCTAGCCTTCAGTGCAACGCGATTGTCTCTTTGAAAGAAGTTCCTTTTTGTCGGCGAACAAATCAAGATAAATTGGCAACGAAACAATTAGGACCTCCCAGACCAAATTTAATAATTCAACAGGTTTCTACTAAGCAGAGTCGTGAAAACTGTCTACGAGAATCGAGACGACCTCATAGAATGTTTTGAAGCCATTCGGACGGGTTCATTGGGGTTCATTTGACTGGCTACGTGAGGATGCTACATGATGAATATTTTATTTTTTTCCTGCGGCTTTTTCACAAAATCATGCCCCACGTCGACATTCTGTACCAGAAGCTACAGAAGAAGGACATCGATGCTGTCTTTATCAAACGTGCCCTCGACAGCTTCACAAGCAGTGTGCAGGCCATAAGGTAAGATTAAACAATATCATTCGATCTTTCTCAATGTTCATTTTTACAAATCTATACAATTGGCCAGAATATGGTTGTTCATATTTACAAGTCTATACAATTGGCCAGAATATGGTTGTTAATTTTTACAAAGCCATACAGATAGCTGTGTTTACCTTTTCTAGAAATTACTTTCAAATTCTGTTTTCAGGCAAAATGTCTATCACTGTTCATTTTCACAAATCTATACAAGAGGGCAGAATATGGAAGTCTATAAAAATGTCTTATTACCAATAACTTGCATCAATGTTTTCAGTAGCCTCTATCAAAAGCTCCTGCTTGCTTGTTGTGAATTATGCTCAGGTGCACATATTTCCAATTCAACCATGAGGCAAAAAATGTGGTAAAAGCTCTTGTTGATCCTGCAATCTGAACAAATACCAAGATGCTGTATTTTCAGCTGATATTTCATTTGTTTATGGAAATGCATATTGTTTATGCAGTGTTGAGGAATGTGAAAGAACACCCTTGATTATTTTTACTGTGATAACTTATTTTGATTTTGTAAGCCAACACTTTTGAGATCAGTCAATAAATGCTTCTGGTATTGACTTATATGCTGCCCCTGTCTTCATGTTGTTGCTGGACATATCTTTTTAAAAATGTGTGTAGGTCACCTAAATCATCAGAAAAATTGCCCCCCCCTGAGAATTCTTTCAGGAGCCGCCACTGCCAAGAAGTCCGTTTTTCAGACTGCGCCGTATATGCCACTCCACAGAGAACTATCTATAAAATGCAGCGGAGATGCGCAATAGGTTTCTAAGAGGCTACTCTCCACAATGTGTGGATGAAACTCTTAATTTGGCATTAGGGAAAACACGAGATTGAGCTGCTACAAAAAAAGACCCACTAGAGCTAAAGAACACTCTGTAATGTTCACCACCACAAATACTTTGAACTCGCGCAAAGTGGGAGATGCTGTCAAGAAACACTGGCATGTTTTATCATCGGACACATCTTATTGTATATAGGAGAGGATGCAATTTACGCGATAAATTGGTTCATGCCAACTGCCAGCCACAAAAGAAAATGAGCCAGGCTCTTTTACGCCCTCTTCCGAATGGTAGCTATAAATGCAGAGGTTGCGCACATTGCAACAATATAGAAGTGTGAATATTTCTGCCACCCACATAAAGGAAAACGGTTCCAAATAAATGACATTATTATGTGCTCCACCACCCATGCTATCTACATGATTAAGTCCATGTGGGCTGGGCTGTGTTATGTAGGTAAAACCTCTCGTTCTCTCAAACAGAGAATTAGTAAACATAAAAGTTCAATCAGGAGAAACGACAGGGATTATCCAGTCGCAGTACATTTTAATGACCAAAAACCTGACATTTCTAACGTCAGATTTTGTGGCATAGAGAAAGTAAACATATTAGACAGGGGAGGTGACTCTGAGCAAAATATAATGCTTTGGATTTTCACACTCCAGACATTATTTCCTAAAGGTCTTTTAATGATGAAATGCCTATGTATGTTATGTTGTACATGTAAACATTAATTAATGCCACCACTTCAGATTACTCTGACGTTTTTCTTGCGCTGTGCCCAAAGATTTATGAAGGCTTGCTTGGTGGGTCGATGTCCTCACTGTGGTTTTACAGACGTGTTTACAGACGTGTTTAATACGTTTTATGTACACACTTTCTTCGAATATTTAAGAAATGCACATTGTTATATTTGGTAACACTTACTCATTTTCCCTCGACTCAAACCCCATTCGATGCCTTGAACGGATGTCCGTGGTGCTGTCTACATAAGTGTGCTAATAAATAAAAAAAACGTACAAAAACTCTGAGGAAGGCCTTAAGCCGATACATAAAGTTTATTAAAGAGCAGTGGTACTAGCAATAGCAGTGTGCATGTTTCTTATTTTTTCTCAAAACCATTACAATACAAATGTGAATAAAAGTGCATGTTAGTCATGAAGAATGAGTCATCGAAGGAAGGTAGAAAATATGTCATTGAGCTTCTGGTGTGTCTCCAAAGGGAAATGTAGCAGCCATATCTCCAGAAATATCTAAAGCAGGGACAATGACTCAGCAACTGCACCAAAGTTGTGAGGCAACCCAAGATTGCTGTATTAAAATTGTCTCAGTCCAACCCAGATATATTTTACTCGACTGTAGCATTGTCTCCAGATCCCCTGATTGGTTGTCTCAGTATTAACAGGGCACTGGCGTTTGAACAGGCCTTTGCTCGTTTCACTATTTGTAGAGGACCTGCGGAACCATCAAAACAAGCAAATATTATATTTCATATTTGTCTTACATTAATAGATGATGTGCTGGTCTTATTGCATTGTGAAAGGCATAGGCTGGCTATACCTTGGAACGTGTGAGGTCAAGGTGCTTTCTGGAGGGAGGAAGTGTTTCATACACTGCTCAAAAAAATAAAGGGAACACTAAAATAACACATCCTAGATCTGAATGAATTAAATAATCTTATTAAATACTTTTTTCTTTACATAGTTGAATGTGCTGACAACAAAATCACACAAAAATTATCAATGGAAATCAAATTTATCAACCCATGGAGGTCTGGATTTGGAGTCACCCTCAAAATTAAAGTGGAAACCACACTACAGCTGATCCAACTTTGATGTAATGTCCTTAAAACAAGTCAAAATGAGGCTCAGTAGTGTGTGTGGCCTCCACGTGCCTGTATGACCTCCCAACAACACCTGGCCATGCTCCTGATGAGGTGGCGGATGGTCTCCTGAGGGATCTCCTCCCAGACCTGGACTAAAGCATCCGCCAACTCCTGGACAGTCGGTGGTGCAACGTGGCGTTGGTGGATGGAGCGAGACATGATGTCCCACATGTGCTCAATTGGATTCAGGTCTGGGGAACGGGCGGGCCAGTCCATAGCATCAATGCCTTCCTCTTGCAGGAACTGCTGACACACTCCAGCCACATGAGGTCTAGCATTGTCTTGCATTAGGAGGAACCCAGGGCCAACCGCACCAGCAAATGGTCTCACAAGGGGTCTGAGGATCTCATCTCGGTACCTAATGGCAGTCAGGCTACCTCTGGCGAGCACATGGAGGGCTGTGCGGCCCCCCAAAGAAATGCCACCCCACACCATGACTGACCCACCGCCAAACCGGTCATGCTGGAGGATGTTGCAGGCAGCAGAACGTTCTCCACAGTGTCTCCAGACTCTGTCACGTCTGTCACATGTGCTCAGTGTGAACCTGCTTTCATCTCTGAAGAGCACAGGGCGCCAGTGGCGAATTTGCCAATCTTGGTGTTCTCTGGCAAATGCCAAACGTCCTGCATGGTGTTGGGCTGTAAAAACAACCCCCACCTGTGGACGTCGGGCCCTCATACCACCCTCATGGAGTCTGTTTCTGACCGTTTGAGCAGACACATGCACATTTGTGGCCTGCTGGAGGTAATTTTGCAGGGCTCTGGCAGTGCTCCTCCTGCTCTTCCTTGCACAAAGGCGGAGGTAGCAGTCCTGCTGCTGGGTTGTTGCCCTCCTACGGCCTCCTCCACGTCTCCTGATGTACTGGCCTGTCTCCTGGTAGCGCCTCCATGCTCTGGACACTACGCTGACAGACACATCAAACCTTCTTGCCACAGCTCGCATTGATGTGCCATCCTGGATGAGCTGCACTACCTGAGCCACTTGTGTGGGTTGTAGACTCTGTCTCATGCTACCACTAGAGTGAAAGCACCGCCAGCATTCAAAAGTGACCAAAACATCAGCCAGGAAGCATAGGAACTGAGAAGTGGTCTGTGGTCACCACCTGCAAAACCAGTCCTTTATTGGGGGTGTCTTGCTAATTGCCTATAATTTCCACCTGTTGTCCATTCCATTTGCACAACAGCATGTGAAATTTATTGTCAATCAGTGTTGCTTCCTAAGTGGACTGTTTGATTTCACAGAAGTGTGATTGACTTGGAGTTACATTGTGTTGTTTAAGTGTTCCCTTTATTTTTTTGAGCAGTGTATATGCATCCACCAAGGCAAAGTATATGCTGTTAGAGATGGAGGTTTGCTGCCCTGAGGGGTGATCCTAATTTAACAATTAAAAACAGAAAACACTCAGGTTACAAAATGATACTATTGGCAGTGGATTGACTTTATTAAAAACTTTATTTGAAACAAATAAAATGGAATAGCACTTAGGCCTACCCTCTCTGTAATGATACTTGTGGCAAAATAAAACATTAAGTATTTGTAGCTCGTTTTTGGTCACAGGTCCAGGAATGGCTGAAGGATTGCAATATTTACCTGGAGCTAACCCTGCAGATAACACTACTGGGTGATCTGAAAAATCATAGTCAATCGATCAATAATGTAATAATACTTTTAGCAAAAAAAAATATTTTCAATTTACAATCTGTAGAAACAATGAGAATAGAAGGGTTCAGAACTTTTGTGAAACATCACAGTGCAGTTGAAAATATATGGCAAATAGAAATCCAATATGGATGGTGTTAAGAAAGATGGGAGGTGTTGAATGGAGCTGAAGGATGGGACTAATAACAACTATCAACTAATAACAACAAGATAACTAATGTAAAGCATACTGTGTCCATAATAAGAATATAGGTTATAGGTGGAGAGCTTTTGTGAAAGAGCACAGTTAGAAAGATATGGCATATAGAAGCAAACCGGATGGACATCATGAAAATGATCGGAGAGGTTGAGGGTAGAGGAAGTTCATGAGTAAAAACAAACAAAATATAATTATTGTAAAATTGACTGTGTCCATAAAATGTATATAGTATGTATAAACTGGAAGTAGAGGACTAAGCATTGTATTTCACTAGTTTACTCCAATTAGGAGAGGGGTGGTGGGGTTGGAAAGTAACAAAGGGAAATATATATTTTTAAAGGATATATATATATATATATATATATATATATATATATATATATATATATATATAAATTGTACAGTTGAAGTCGGAAGTTCACTTAGGTTGGAGTCATTAAAACTTGTTTTTCAACCACTCCACAAATTTCTTGTTAACAAACTATTGTTTTGGCAAGTCAGTTAGGACATCTACTTTGTGCATGACACAAGTAATTTTTCCAACAATTGTTTACAGACAGATTATTTCACTTATAATTCACTGTATCACAATTCCAGTGGGTCAGGAGTTTATATACACTAAGTTGACTGTGCCTTTAAACACCTTGGACAATTCCAGAAAATGATGTCATGGCTTTAGAAGCTTCTGATAGGCTAATTGACATAATTTGAGTCAATTGGAGGTGTACCTGTGGATGTATTTCAAGGCCTACCTTCAAACTCAGTGCCTCTTTGCTTGACATCATGGGAAAATCAAAAGAAATCAGCTAAGACCTCAGAATTATTTTGTTGTTGACCTCCACAAGTCTGGTTCATCCTTGGGAGCAATTTCCAAACGCCTGAAGGTACCCCGTACATCTGTACAAACAATAGTATGCAAGTATAAACACCATGGGACCACACAGCCGTCATACCGCTCAGGAAGGAGACGCGTTCTGTCTCCTAGAGATGAACGTAATTTGGTGCGAAAAGTGCAAATCAATCCCAGAACAACAGCAAAGGACCTTGTGAAGATACTGGAGGAAACAGGTACAAAAGTATCTATATCCACAGTAAAATGAGTCCTATATCGACATAACCTGAAAGGCCGCTCAGCAAAGAAGAAGCCACTGCTCCAAAACCGCCATAAAAAAGCCAGACTATGGTTTGCAACTGCACATGGGGACAAACATCGTACTTTTTGGAGAAATGTCCTCTGGGCTGATGAAACAAAAATATACAGTGGGGAAAAAAAGTATTTAGTCAGCCACCAATTGTGCAAGTTCTCCCACTTAACAATATGAGAGAGGCCTGTAATTTTCATCATAGGTACACGTCAACTATGACAGACAAATTGAGAAAAAAAATCCAGAAAATCACATTGCAGGATTTTTAATGAATTTATTTGCAATTTATGGTGGAAAATAAGTATTTGGTCACCTACAAACAAGCAAGATTTCTGGCTCTCACAGACCTGTAACTTCTTCTTTAAGAGGCTCCTCTGTCCTCCACTCGTTACCTGTATTAATGGCACCTGTTTGAACTTGTTATCAGTATAAAAGACACCTGTCCACAACCTCAAACAGTCACACTCCAAACTCCACTATGGCCAAGACCAAAGCTGTCAAAGGACACCAGAAACAAAATTGTAGACCTGCACCAGGCTGGGAAGACTGAATCTGCAATAGGTAAGCAGCTTGGTTTGAAGAAATCAACTGTGGGAGCAATTATTAGGAAATGGAAGACATACAAGACCACTGATAATCTCCCTCGATCTGGGGCTCCACGCAAGATCTCACCCCGTGGGGTCAAAATGATCACAAGAACGGTGAGCAAAAATCCCAGAACCACACAGGGGGACCTAGTGAATGACCTGCAGAGAGCTAGGACCAAAGTAACAAAGCCTACCATCAGAAACACACTACGCCGCCAGGGACTCAAATCCTGCAGTGCCAGACGTGTCCCCCTGCTTAAGCCAGTACATGTCCAGGCCCGTCTGAAGTTTGAATGAATTGGGCCATGTATCGTGAGATTTTGAGTGAAAACCTCCTTCCATCAGCAAGGGCATTGAAGATGAAACGTGGCTGGGTCTTTCAGCATGACAATGATCCCAAACACACCGCCCGGGCAACGAAGGAGTGGCTTCGTAAGAAGCATTTCAAAGTCCTGGAGTGGCCTAGCCATTCTCCAGATCTCAACCCCATAGAAAATCTTTGGAGGGAGTTGAAAGTCCGTGTTGCCCAGCGACAGCCCCAAAACATCACTGCTCTAGAGGAGATCTGCATGGAGGAATGGGCCAAAATACCAGCAACAGTGTGTGAAAACCTTGTGAAGACTTACAGAAAACGTTTGACTTGTGTCATTGCCAACAAAGGGTATATAACAAAGTATTGAGAAAATTTTATTATTGACCAAATACTTATTTTCCACCATAATTTGCAAATAAATTCATTAAAAATCAATGTGATTTTCTGGATTTTTTTTCTCATTTTGTCTGTCATAGTTGATGTGTACCTATGATGAAAATTACAGGCCTCTCTCATCTTTTTAAGTGGGAGAACTTGCACAATTGGTGGCTGACTAAATACTTTTTTCCCCACTGTAACTGTTTGGCCATATTGACCATCGTTATGTTTGGAGGAAAAAGGGGGTGCTTGCAAGCCGAAGAACAACATCCCAACCGTGAAGCACGGGGGTGGCAGCATCATGATGTGAGGGACTGGTGCACTTCACAAAATCGATGGCATTATGAGGAAGGAAAATTATGTGGCTATATTGAAGCAACAACTCAAGACATCAGTCAGGAAGTTAAAGCTTGGTCACAAATGGGTCTTCCAAATGGACAATGACCCCAAGCATACTTCTGCTGCCGTTCTGCTGCCAACAAGGCTGACTTCATCCCAGCCTATGCTACCCTCCAGTCCCTCGACTTCCTGGCGCTGACGGAAACATGGATTACCACTGAAAACACTGCTACTCCTACTGCTCTCTCCTCGTCTGACCATGTGTTCTCGCATACCCCGAGAGCATCTGGTCAGAGGGGTGGTGGCACAGGAATCCTCATCTCTCCCAAGTGGTCATTCTCAATTTTTCCCCTAACCCATCTGTCTATCTCCTCATTTGAATTCCACGCTGTCACAGTCACTAGCCCATTTAAGCTTAATATCCTTGTCATCTATCGCCCTCCAGGTTCCCTTGGAGAGTTCATCAATGAGCTTGACGCCTTGATAAGTTCCTTTCCTGAGGATGGCTCACCCTTCACAGTTTTGGGGGATTTCAACCTCCCTACGTCTACATTTGACTCATTTCTCTCTGCCTCCTTCTTTCCACTCCTCTCCTCTTTTGACCTCACCCTCTCACCATCCCCCCCTACTCACAAGGCAGGCAATACGCTTGACTTCATCTTTACTAGATGTTGCTCTTCTACTAATCTCACTGCAACTCCCCTCCATGTCTCCGACCACTACTTTGTATCCTTTTCTCTCTCGCTCTCCTCCAACACTACTCACTCTGCCCCTACACAGATGGTAACGCGCCGCCGCAACCTTCGCTCTCTCTCTCCCACTACTCTCTCCTCTTCCATCCTATCATCTCTTCCCTCTGCTCAATCCTTCTCCCTCCAATCTCCTGATTCTGCCTCCTCAACCCTCCTCTCCTCCCTTTCTGCATCCTTTGACTCCCTGTGTCCCATAACCTCCCGGCCGGCTCGGTCCTCCCCTCCAGCTCCGTGGCTTGATGACTCATTGCGAGCTCACAGAACAGAGCTCCGGGCAGCTGAGCGGAAATGGAAGAAAACTAAACTCCCTGCCGACCTGGCATCTTTTCACTCCCTCCTCTCTACATTTTTTTCATCTGTTTCTGCTGCTAAGGCCACTTTCTACCACTCTAAATTCCAAGCATCTGCCTCTAACCCTAGGAAGCTCTTTGCCACATTCTCCTCACTGCTGAATCCCCACCCCCCACCCCTCCACCCCCCCCACCCCCCCCTCCTCCCTCTCTGTGGATGACTTCGTCAACCACTTTGAAAAGAAGGTTGACGACATCCGATCCTCGTTTGTTAAGTCTAATGACACTGCTGGTCCTGCTCACACTGCCCTACCCTATGCTTTGACTTATTTCTCCCCTCTCTCTCCAGATAAAATCTTGCGACTAGTGACTGCAGGCTGCCCAACAACCTGCCCGCTTGACCCCATCCCCTCCTCTCTTCTCCAGACTATCTCCGGTGACCTTCTCCCCTACCTCACCTCGCTGATCAACTCATCCTTGACCGCTGGCTATGTCCCTTCCATCTTCAAGAGAGCGAGAGTTGCACCCCTTCTCAAAAAACCAACACTCGATCCCACTGATGTCAACAACTACAGACCAGTATCCCTTCTTTCTTTTCTTTCCAAAACTATTGAGCGTGCCGTCTTTAGCCAACTCTCTTGCTATCTCTCTCAGAATGACCTTCTTGATCCAAACCAGTCAGGTTTCAGGACTGGTCATTCAACTGAGACTGCTCTTCTCTGTGTCACGGAGGCTCTCCGCACTGCTAAAGCTAACTCTCTCTCCTCTGCTCTTGTCCTTCTAGACCTGTCTGCTGCCTTTGATACTGTGAACCATCAGTTCCTCCTCTCCACCCTCTCCGAGCTGGGCATCTCCGGCGCGGCTCACTCCTGGATTGCGTCCTACCTGACCGGTCGCTCCTACCAAGTGGCGTGGCGAGAAGCTGTCTCCGCACCACGTGCTCTCACCACTGGTGTCCCCCAGGGCTCAGTTCTAGGCCCTCTCCTTTTCTCCCTATACACTAAGTCACTTGGCTCTGTCATATCCTCACATGGCCTCTCCTATCATTGCTACGCTGACGATACACAACTAATCTTCTCCTTTCCCCCTTCTGATAACCAGGTGGCGAATCGCATCTCTGCATGTCTGGCAGACATATCAGTATGGATGACGGATCACCACCTCAAGCTGAACCCTGGCAAGACGGAGCTGCTCTTCCTCCCGGGGAAGGACTGCCCGTTCCATGATCTCGCCATCACGGTTGACAACTCCGTTGTGTCCTCCTCCCAGAGTGCGAAGAGCCTTGGCGTGACCCTGGACAACACCCTGTCGTTCTCCGCTAACATCAAGGCGGATGACCCGATCCTGCAGGTTCATGCTCTACAACATTCGGAGAGTACGACCCTGCCTTACACAGGAAGCGGCACAGGTCCTAATCCAGGCACTTGTCATCTCCCGTCTGGATTACTGCAACTCGCTGTTGGCTGGGCTCCCTGCCTGTGCCATTAAACCCCTACAACTCATCCAGAATGCCGCAGCCCGTCTGGTGTTCAACCTTCCCAAGTTCTCTCACGTCACCCCCCCTCCTCCGCACACTCCACTGGCTTCCAGTTGAAGCTCGCATCCGTTACAAGACCATGGTGCTTGCCTATGGAGCAGTGAGGGGAACGGCACCTCCGTACCTTCAGGCTCTGATCAGTCCCTACACCCAAACGAGGGCATTGCGTTCATCCACCTCTGGCCTGCTGGCTCCCCTTCCTCTGCGGAAGCATAGTTCCCGCTCAGCCCAGTCAAAACTGTTCGCTGCTCTGGCACCCCAATAGTGGAACAAGCTCCCTCACGACGCCAGGACAGCGGAGTCACTCACCACCTTCCGGAGACATTTGAAACCCCACCTCTTTAAGGAATACCTGGGATAGGATAAAGTAATCATTCTAACCCCCCCCTCCCAAATTTTTTTTTATATATATATAAAAAAAAATAATAATAAAAAAAAAATGTAAAGTGTTTATCCCACTGGCTATAGGGTGAATGCACCAATTTGTAAGTCGCTCTGGATAAGAGCGTCTGCTAAATGACGTAAATGTAAATGTAATACTTCCAAAGTTGTGGCAAAATGGCTTGAGGACAACAAAGTCAAGGTATTGGAGTGGCCATCACAAAGCCCTGACCTCAATCCTATAGAACATTTGTGGGCAGAACTGAAAAAGCGTGCACGAGCAAGGAGGCCTACAAACCTGACTCAGTTACACCAGCTCTGTCAGGAGGAATGGCCCAAAATTCACCCAACTTATTGTGGGAAGCTTGTGGAAGGCTACCCGAAATGTTTGACCCAAGTTAAACAATTTAAAGGCAATGCTACCAAATACTAATTGAGTGTATGTAAACTTCTGACCCACTGGGAATGTGATGAAAGAAATAAAAGCTGAAATAAATCATTCTCTCTACTATTATTCTGACATTTCACATTCTTAAAATAAAGTGGTGATCCTAACTGACCTAAAACAGGGAATTTTTACTAGGATTAAATGTCAGGAATTGTGAAAAACTGAGTTTAAATATATTTGGCTAAGGTGTATGTAAACTTACGACTTCAACTGTATATATATATTTGCGGGAAAAAAAACCTATGGGGGATTGGAAGTGATGCAGACAATTACATTGATAGAAGTTACAATCTATCTGCAATATTAAAGCTGATTTACCCCCTAAAAAAATATTATAATAATAAAAAAATTAAAAAGTATTCAAAGGCATCTGGTGACAGTTAAGAACAACACTAAACTGAAGTGGACAAACAGTGCAATAATACATAGTAATAGTTATCATTGTGTCAAACGTTGCAAAAAGGATACTGAGTGACAATCTCTGATTCTGAGAGAAATATCAATTTGTTTTAAATGACCCCCTCCTGGATGGAAATTCTCACACGATCCTGTTAAAATGAAAGAAAAAAAACTCAGCATTCAGACAGGAAGGTAGACCAATAGGCGTTTAACTACTGATATTTTAATGAGTAGTAATTCTTGTTAACGTGATGACATTGTGAAGTAATACTGTAATAACACTGTACAATTAGCATTTATGTTGAACTCATACAGGTAAACTTGCGACTTGGATCTCAAACTTGTATTCTTCAGCTTGAAGTTTATAAACAAGTTTCAGCATTGGGCCATTGTGAAATATTGCATGTTGGTGAAAACTCCCATGTTTATTAGTATACTGTAGGTGCAATACACATTAGTAACATTATAAATGGCAATATGTGGAATGTCTCAAATCACAGACAGGTCCACCTTTGTTGTAGGAACTCCAGTATATTGTTGTAGTCACTGCTGTGGGCGTGAAGGGAGGAAAGACTCCAACCAACAATGCTGCCATCCAGGCTGCCAACAACCCTCTCCACCAGCCAGGGGAAGATAACACATAGCTCCTGTATTGAGACCAAACAGCATAGTTAACACACTCCTCACTCAGTTTATTCACATGTAGGCTCCTCTACCTGATTTGAAGAGGAGTTGTTTTATACAATAATACAATACAATACTTGCTTAATTGGTCTATTTGCATGGATATTCTTTATTTGTTTGCTGTCATAGTACCCAACCTGACACACAACACACATCACAGGCTGGGAGAAGCACAGGGGCTGCTGCCGAGCAGCGACTCTGGAGCACTTAGGGGTAAAGTGCCTTGCTCACGGGCACAATGGTGGTAGGTAGTATACAGGATATGGAAGCCGGTAACCAATGGCCATGACACAGTAGCCATCAGAAATCTTTGCATACTGAGGAGCTAGAGGACAATTTGCAACAGGAAGCATTGTACATGGTTCTACAACTGTCTGAATGGCTGTGTCCAGTAACGTATTGTTTACATCAGCCTGAAACAGCAACTGGCTGATCCTCTGTGACAATAACTCTACACATGGCCACAGCTGCATGTGGTTAGAAACACAGGGCTGTGTTTTGGTTTTATCACTGGCAAGCCCATTCTTTTTCCTACCGCTTGAATTCGATTTGACTAATGTTTTGGTGACTTGAATGTATGTCAAAACATAAATATGTCAAAATGTGTTAACCTTAAATATATTTCTTTCGACATAATTTGTGAATACATAATTGCATTACAGTAATACGTTCAAATATAAATAATTGTGTATGTAAATTGGTATAGAGGTGTAGTAGGTAGCTATAGTATTGCATGTTGCAACACTGTGATAAAGTGAAATAAATGTGAACGAAACCACAGTTTTCATATCATTTCGATACAGTATCATTCAGTTAATTGCTCAGCTACCATGACAGGTTTATCGTCAATTCCTTTTATCACTGTGCATTGATGTTAGAGTTACTTCATAGTCCAATCCATCTTCAGATGATCCTGCATGGGAGAACACTCAATCATAAACATCATCTATAAGAGCCTCCGCTAAAATAAAACAAACAAACAATCTTGTCTTTTAAGATTTGAGATTTAAGATTTGTCTTGACTCACCAAAGAGGAGGACATGACTGCAATGTATTATTCCCATGAAAAGGTTATCAGAAAAAGAGATGGAATTCTAATCAGTTTAGAATTTTTGTTGTTGTCATTTAGCAGACACTCTTATCCAGAGTGACTCCTCTGTAGCTCAGCTGGTAGAGCATGGCGCTTGTAATGCCAAGGTAGTGGGTTCGATCCCCGGGACCACCCATACACAAAAGAAAAAAAATGTATGCACGCATGACTGTAAGTCGCTTTGGATAAAAGCGTCTGCTAAATGGCATATTATTATTACTTACAGGAGCAATTAGGGTTAAGTGCCCTGCTCAAGGGCACATCAACAGATTTTTCACCTAGTCGGCTCGGTGATATGAACCAGCGACATTTAAGTTACTGGCTCAATGCTCTTGACCGCTAGGCTACCTGCCACCCCACCTTGTGCAGTTTTTGTTCAGACCATTGTGCCAATGTTTTGTATATGACCACGTTGTTAGAGGATTCAAATCAAATTGTATTTATCACATGCACCGAATACAACTGCTGTAGACTTTACAGTGAAATGCTTGCTTACGAACCTTCCCCAACGATACAGAGTTTAAAAATGATAATACATAAATTAGTAACTGACACAAGGAATATTTATAAAAATACACAAGAATGGAGCTATATACAGGGAGTATCTGTACCATATCAATGTGCAGAGGTACGAGGTACTTGAGGTAGATACAGTGGGGAAAAAAAGTATTTAGTCAGCCACCAATTGTGCAAGTTCTCCCACTTAAAAATATGACAGAGGCCTGTAATTTTCATCATAGGTACACGTCAACTATGACAGACAAAATGAGGAAAAAAAATCCAGAAAATCACATTGTAGGATTTTTAATGAATTTATTTGCAATTTATGGTGGAAAATAAGTATTTGGTCACCTACAAACAAGCAAGATTTCTGGCTCTCACAGACCTGTAACTTCTTCTTTAAGAGGCTCCTCTGTCCTCCACTCGTTACCTGTATTAATGGCACCTGTTTGAACTTGTTATCAGTATAAAAGACACCTGTCCACAACCTCAAACAGTCACACTCCAAACTCCACTATGGCCAAGACCAAAGCTGTCAAAGGACACCAGAAACAAAATTGTAGACCTGCACCAGGCTGGGAAGACTGAATCTGCAATAGGTAAGCAGCTTGGTTTGAAGAAATCAACTGTGGGAGCAATTATTAGGAAATGGAAGACATACAAGACCACTGATAATCTCCCTCGATCTGGGGCTCCACGCAAGATCTCACCCTGTGGGGTCAAAATGATCACAAGAACGGTAAGCAAAAATCCCAGAACCACACAGGGGGACCTAGTAAATGACCTGCAGAGAGCTGGGACCAAAGTAACAAAGCCTACCATCAGAAACACACTACGCTGCCAGGGACTCAAATCCTGCAGTGCCAGACGTGTCCCCCTGCTTAAGCCAGTACATGTCCAGGCCCGTCTGAAGTTTGCTAGAGTGCATTTGGATGATCCAGAAGAGGATTGGGAGAATGTCATATGGTCAGATGAAACCAAAATATAACTTTTTGGTAAAAACTCAACTCGTCGTGTTTGGAGGAAAAATAATGCTGAGTTGCATCCAAAGAACACCATACCTACTGTGAAGCATGGGGGTGGAAACATCATGCTTTGGGGCTGTTTTTCTGCAAAGGGACCAGGACGACTGATCCGTGTAAAGGAAAGAATGAATGGGGCCATGTATCGTGAGATTTTGAGTGAAAACCTCCTTCCATCAGCAAGGGCATTGAAGATTAAACGTGGCTGGGTCTTTCAGCATGACAATGATCCCAAACACACCGCCCGGGCAACGAAGGAGTGGCTTCGTAAGAAGCATTTCAAGGTCCTGGAGTGGCCTAGCCAGTCTCCAGATCTCAACCCCATAGAAAATCTTTGGAGGGAGTTGAAAGTCCGTGTTGCCCAGCGACAGCCCCAAAACATCACTGCTCTAGAGGAGATCTGCATAGAGGAATGGGCCAAAATACCAGCAACAGTGTGTGAAAACCTTGTGAAGACTTACAGAAAACGTTTGACCTGTGTCATTGCCAACAAAGGGTATATAACAAAGTATTGAGAAACTTTTGTTATTGACCAAATACTTATTTTCCACCATAATTTGCAAATAAATTCATTAAAAATCCTACAATGTGATTTTCTGGATTTTTTCTTCATTTTGTCTGTCATAGTTGACGTGTACCTATGATGAAAATTACAGGCCTCTCTCATCTTTTTAAGTGGGAGAACTTGCACAATTGGTGGCTGACTAAATAAAACATTTCCCCACTGTAGTGTTTGAATCTGTGAGGGATTTGTGTGGGAGTGGCAGTGTAGCGTGTGTGAGTGTGTATATAAAGTCTAGTGAGTGTGCCTAGGGTCAGTGCAAGATAGAGTCATTTCAGATAGTTTGCGTACCGTTAATTTACTATTTAGCAGTCTGGCCATTTAGCAGTCCTATGACTTGGGGGTACAAATATTTCTCTACACCCACAATAACATCTGCAAAATATGTGTACCAATAAAATTAGATTACATTTATTTTTATTTTTATTTATTAGAAGCTCCGGTACCGTTTGCCGGATGGTAGCAGAGGGAACAGTCTATGGCTTGGGTGGCTGGAGTGTTTGGCAATTTTTCGGGCCTTCCTCTGCCGACACCTGATATAGAGGTCCTGGATGGCAGGGAGCTTGGCCCCAGTGATGTACTGGGCTGTCCACACCACCCTCTGTAGCGCTTTGCGATCGAGGGTGGTGCATTTGCCATACCAAGCGGTGATGCAGCCAGTCAAGATGCTCTTGATGGTGCAGCTGTGTAACTTTTTGAGGATTTGAGGACCCATGTCAAATCTTTTCAGCCACCTGAGCGGGAAGATGGCTGGAAGATGGCTTTTTCCTTAGAACAGCGCCGGAGAAGATGGCTGCCGTTTTACAGCCCTCTAACCAATTGTACAATTATGTGTGTTTTTCCGCGTTATTTGTAATTTATTTTGTACATAATGTTTCTGCCATCGTCTTTTATAACCAAAAAGAGCTTCTGGATATCAGGACAGCGATTACTCACCTCGTATTGGATGAAGATTTTTTCTTCAACGAGGCGGCCGCGAAGGATATCCTACAGACACCCGACAAGGCCCAAATCCCCGTCATTCGCATGAGGAAGAGACGGAGATATCGTGGACGTAGGTCGGGGTGCCTTGTAAGGATCCGACGGAGAGCGAGTAAACTGCCTCTTCCATCAATCCTATTAGCCAATCTTCAATCATTGGAGAACAAATTGGATGACCTAAGATTACGGTTATCCTACCAATGGGACATTAAAAACTGTAATATCTTATGTTTCACAGACTCGTGGCTGAACGACGACATGGATAACATACAGCTAGCGGGCTATACGCTACATCGGCAGGATAGAACGGCTGACTCCGGTAAGACAAGGGGTGGCGGTCTGTGTATATTTGTAAACAACAGCTGGTGCACAAAATCAAATACTAAGGAAGTCTCGAGGTTTTGCTCACCTGAGGTAGAGTATCTTATGATAAGCTGTAGACCACACTATTTACCAAGAGAGTTTTCATCTATATTTTTCATAGCTGTCTATTTACCACCACAAACCAATGCTGGCATTAAGATTGCACTGAATGAGCTGTATAAGGCCATAAATCAACAGGAAAACGCTCATCCAGATGCAGTGCTCCTAGTGGCCGGGGACTTTAATGCAGGGAAACTTAAATCTGTTCTACCTAATTTCTACCAGCATGTTAAATGTGCAACCAGAGGAAAAAAAAACTCTAGACCACCTTTACTCCACACACAGAGACGCATACAAAGCTCTCCCTCGCCCTCCATTTGGCAAATCTGACCATAACTCTATCCTCCTGATTCCTGCTTATAAGCAAAAACTAAAGGAGGAAGC